ATTCTTGCTCTCCACCTCAGTAGCTAGGCTCTCCTTTCTCACCTCTTTACTATACTAATGCTGTGAGCTTGCACACCTGTTTATACCTTCTCTTTTGTCCACAGACTTGTGAGAACACAAGCCCTGTGGCACAGTCTCACTTTGTCTTGCTACTCATCTTCAATTAAATAAGGACTCAGAGGATTGTGTCTACCGGACACCATGTGAAATTTTGTGAGAGGATTGTACTTGAGGGAACCCACATAAATAAAAACTGACTTCTGTTTCTGAGATGACCAAAATGTAGGCTCTGAAGACTGCTGAGCCCAGTTGATAAAGACTAAAGCTCATATCTCATCTGAACACAAGTTTCTAAAAACCGATTGCTTTGGTAGAGCCTTACATATTGTGAATTCACCAGGAGATAATATGGCTCCGGTTTCAGCTGTGGGATCTCAGCCCTGGTAAAGTGTAACCCAGTTCAGATTATGACACTTACATTAAGACCATCGAGAAACATTTGTGGATGCTTCTGTTCCGAGTCAGATGGTTTTAAAATTTTGTCATGCAGCATGCAGCCAAAGAGACAGAAAAGCCCAGTTATCGTTGTTCACAGACATGAGCTGACACTTTACAAAGAGCCACCAGATAGGCAGCCTCAGCCTGACTGAATGAATTAGGGGACAAATGTTCCTACCCTGGGGCTAGCCACAGCTCCCATGACTAGTTGTCAGGGAATGGGGAAATATCAGCTCCTCTCCCCCCTCTGAGGCCCTTCAAAACTGATGGAGAAGGAGTGGTGCTCTTGGGCAGATCCAAATGAGGTGGTGCTGTGGCCCAGCAGCTTTGACCATGTTCAGCACCCTGGCAGGCTCAGGGGGAACCTCCTGGGCATGAGCTAGGGAAAGCGTGGAGGTGAGAGAGAAGTGGCAAGGACTCACTCAGTTAGGAGCTTAAAAAGGGAAATCTTTGGTCAATCTCTTGTTCTTCTCTGCTAGAAACTTGTTCATCAGTTAGACATGTTTCCCACCAAGAAATACCAAGGCTCTAAATACTAGTGGACTTTTCCGGAACAAAGCTCAGTAGCTTCAATCTTAAATGAACACATTTTGGGGTGCTTTGATTTGGTGTGCCAGGCTTTAGGTCCAGTGTCAGAAGTGCTGAGCACTGTCCACCAAACGAGGGTTGTCCACAGTTGTCAGTGCTCAGTGCCTCCGGAAAACGCATCTCCGGGGGTTCTAAACAGATATCAAAAAATCAGGAACAGCTTTTGAAATGTGCAGGCTTCCAAAGCAGCTGAAGCATCTCTGCCACTATCCAGCCAACTTGCTGCATTGCCAGTCAGGCTTTCTCCAGCAGCAGCTTTTAAAAATCACATTTGATTGTTGAACAATTGTATTCATTGCAATTTCTGCAAGTGCTGCTTTGTGCCTATGGGCTTGGAACCACCGTCTTTTTTTTTTGTTGTAGCAGCAGTTGTGTCCACATGGTGTCTTAGCTGGATCAGTTCTGGATCCAAGTGAGAATTCAAAAGAAGCAAAGGAAAAGGATGAGGGAAGTTCTTCTTTTTCCTTCACACAACAGCCAAAGAACAGCCAGGCTCGCCCACCTGCAATTCATAGATATCCATCTGGATTTCCATGGATATCCACCTTGATGTGCATCTGGATATCCATCTTGGCATTATCTTTAGTTGATAGTATCTTTTTTTTACTTCAGTGGGGCCAGAACTTCACACAAATCCTTGATAGAGTCAAGGAAAATTGTGAATGCACCCCTGGGGACAGAGCTTTGCCTTCTTATGCAAAGTATAAGAATCCCCAGTGGATTTGCATAACCCCCAAAACAGCCCAGCTGGGCAAAAAAAAGGACAGGATAGCTTTTCCTGAGCAGCAGTGTGGTTTGGAGGTCAAGGGTCAGTATGTTTTGGAGAGAAGACTGGCTCCTACATGTGGTCCTTGGCAGCACAAAGACACCCAGCTCAGCCTTCAGACCTCACCAATGCATTGCTGCAGTTGATACCAACGCTGCCACCACTTGCACTCCGCTCCTGTCGCGGTTTAACCCCAGCTGGCAACTAAGTACCACACAGCCGCTCACTCACTCCCCCAGTGTGGGACGGGGGAGAGAATCGGAAGGGTAAAAGTGAGAAAACTCTTGGGTTGAGATGAAGACAGTTTAATAGGGAAAGCAAAAGCTGCGCACTCAAGCAAAGCAAAACAAGGAATTCATTCACTCCTTCCCATCGGCAGGCAGGTGTTCAGCCATCTCCAGGAAAGCAGGGCTCCATCACGCGTAATGGTTACTTGGGAAGACAAACGCCATCACTCCAAACGTCCCCCCCCTTCCTTCTTCTTCCCCCAGCTTTATATACTGAGCATAACGTCACATGGTATGGAATGTCCTTTGGCCAGTTGGGGTCAGCTGTCCCGGCTGTGCCCCCTCCCAGCTTCTTGTGCACCTCCAGCCTTCTCAGTCAGTAGAGCATGGGAAGCTGGAAGGTCCTTGACTAATGTAAACACTACCTAGCAACAACTAAAACATCGGTGAGTTATCAACATTGTTCTCACCCTAAATCCAAAACACAGCACTGTACCAGCTACTAGGAAGGAAATTAACTCTATCCCTGCCGAAACCAGGACAGCTCCCCATGACAGCCTTTGAGTGAGATGTAGACGCACAGTTTACTGGATGACCTTTTTGCTTTTTCAGCTCTGGGTTAGAGACAGATGTGATGAAAACAGCTGTCAAGCAAAATGGAGTTACTGGATTTGTGATTTAAGACCCTCCTCGTGTCACCCTTTTTGATACTGACTCAAGCTGCTGCTTCTCTCTCTCCATAGCTGCAGGCAATGGGGAGTGTTTTCTCTGGTCTCAGGCAGTCAAGAGGTACCAGCAGCTAAGCGAATACAAAATGACAAACACATAAAGCTTGCGGCTTTGTGCAGGCAGACATGTACACCTTTGCCAGACAGCTCAGCTCCTCTTGTCATCTCCCAAGTTAGACAAAGAGCCTGTCAAAGCCGAACATATTGGTACATCCAACAAAAGCTCCTCTGACCCACTCTCTTCTCCCGAGAGGCTTCAGCTCCTCTTAGCTTTTACATCATTAGCACTCTCAGGGCAGGCAGGGGGTCATTTCTAATTTGTGAATGCCCTTGGACCACAAGCTGGGATTTTTAATTTGTTTACCTTGCATATTAAACAGTACTTTCATAGGTACTGTCAATAAATCCTCTATGAATAGGGATCTTCATTCCAGACCTAGTTGTTACTTTAACTTTTTCGATTTGATTAGATGAGATTAAAAAAAAATTCCTTGAGGGCAATCTCAGTCACCAAACACAGTGCCATCACCAAAATCCCCAGAGGGCTGAGGGCAAACCCCAGGCTTCGTGACGTGAAGGAAGAGCACTGCTTTGTGAAGAAGAACTCAAACCAAGCTGCTACTTCAGACCCAGAAGTGGGCACTCAACTTACACAGTTGTGGCCATGAAAAGTGCCTCCTGGGAGTAGCTCACGCATGGCTTCTGCCCACCAAGCAGGACAGGGAGCTGTGTCACCCTGCCCAGGGTACCTTCAGGAGTACCTAGACCTGTGCTATCAATCCCCTAAGTGCCACACACAAGGAACCAACAGGGAAATCACAACTAGTTTATCAATTTAACCTTCCCTCAGAGCTCCATGCCAGGTGGGCAAATATAGCCCTCAACCCTATAATCCAGCTGTTTCTCTAACAGGTTTGCATCCTCTTGTTTGTATGCGTGTCCCTCTTGTTTCTTCTCCAAGAGAAAGTGGGAGTTTTTATTTACTTCTCAGCTTTTCATTTCCCAAAATACTTTCATTATGCTTACAGGGCAAAAAGGCATATGTTTGAATGTAAATGCATGACAGCAGGTCAGTAGTGCTCCCTCGCTCTCTCCCTCTCTGCCTGATATATGGTGTTACAGGGCTATTGAGCTGTAGCAGTGGTGTCACAAATAGAGCCATGTGGGAACTCAACAGTTTGGGTTCACAGGGTTTGTGCTAACCTTGCTCCCACTTGTCACTCCTGAGAGGTTTGCTCACATACATAGATAAGACCAGGTCTGAGTTTCAGGACATCTAAAAAGTTAGCAAAACTTAGCTACTAAGTCATCTGTGCTCAATTTCTCATGGAAACCGTGGCAAAGCCATCAAATGTTTAATAATATGTCATCAAATGGTCATTTTGGAAAGAGGTCCAGTCTAAACTGTCCCAGATTTTTTCCTCCTTAGTCCCAAATTCATTTGAAAGGGTGCCTACATATCTGAAGGGTGTGGAAATTACAGCAAATATGTAAGGATCCAAGAGATCCCCACCAAGTATAGGTGAGTTTACGATAAATTGGTCTCCTGATCCTTCTACTCTGGGACGCCTCAGTAAATTTCACTGGCTGCATCACAGGAAGCTGCAAAGAGAAAAAAAAAAGAAAAGCAAACCAAAAACTGCCTCACATGCAGTTATGACTTGACCATCTCCCAGGGCAAGGGGTAAGCTGCCTTTCAAACAACTGTGTTTAGAGGTTCACTTACATCCTGAAACATCAAGGATTTTCTATAACACAGCATGGGGAAAGAAAAAAAATGTGCTGTCAAACTAAGCACAAACTGAGCAAATGCTGCCAGCTGAGGGAAAACTACAAAACTATCAGAAGATAGTTTCCATTTTCAGGGAAGGATGGGACTTGCAGTGGTTGCTCTCACACAGGCAGCCCTAGCCATGAAGATAAACGCCTCCTGGGCTTCCCCCCTGCCATATCGTGAAAAACTGCTGCAGTGGTCACAGCTCCCTCTCTTACCCACCCTTGCTTGCGGTACCCAGAGCTTCCAGATAGGGCTGCTCCGCCATGGAGAAATGATGATTTCATCAAGCAGTCTGTCCAGTGAGGGTAGCAGAAGTGTGAACAAGAAAACAAGGCAAAAAGAGACAAGATAGGCAATGGCTAAACCTTGGCCCAAGACCACAAAGGGCCACCTCTGTTTGCAGAACATCTCAGCACATTCATCTTCCCAGCTGGATCTTCTTTCCAACGCTTCTCACCAGTGTTTCCCTTCCTGCGTTCAAGGTCGTGGGGCTGGGCATAAGGGTCATGTCCTGCCTGTAAACTTTGTGCACATGCACTTCCATAATGTGCCCCACGGAAAGTCAACAAGTGCAAACCACCTTCCACTGTATGTCTAACAGCAGCACAAGCAATGCTGTAGGGCCTCTCTGAGCCAGGCTGCGGAGCCACAGCAGTGATGGGAACAGCATCGCAAGGGCCCTGTGTAGGACCCTCTCCCGAAGTGATGTGCTGGAGTGGAGAGACTGTGGCCGCACCATCAGGGACAGCCAGCTTGATAGACCGGGCCCCTGGAAAGGAGAAGGAGAGGCCAGAAGAGCCCGTTAGACAATGAATTATCTAAATCAGGCACTAAGATGTAGCACTGATTGAAAAGCTTGTTCAAATTGCTTTCACTGTGATTCATAAACTCTTCATGCAAATTCATATGTTAGGATGAGCACAAAAATTAGAAAGCTGGAATAAGATTGCTTTAATTTAAATAAGAGACATGGTTGTGAATATTAGGCTTTTACACTGTTAGCAGTAACCCATCAGATGTTAACAAAATCTGATATGCAACAGTTTTACATATCCCCTTGTGGGAGAAAGATCAACTTGCAAACCGCTTTATAAATCAGCCACACTGTTAGAGTTAGGCTACTGTATCTAAATGGCTTTTAGATATGCTTCCTGTTTTAAGCTACCATATTTACAAATGAAAGCTTTTTCAAACCACGTCTTTTAATATAATTTGCATATTTAGTAATACATTGATTAACATTAAACACGGATTATTGCAATTTATTTCAGAAACAGATGGGATGCATTAAGTGAAAAGCCAGAGCGTTTAAACAGAGCACACTCCCAAGGCTGACTCCTGATGAATGATGAATACAAAAAGTTTATTAACTAACAAGAAAAAGGAAAGAGGAAAGGACACTTCACGCCAGCTCCTTTTCAAGCGCCTCCCTTGCTCGAGAGTCTACGAAAGTGCCATTAAGGAGAATTTATACCAAATAATACCATTCAGAGGTGTGCATGGGTTTACCGAAAGCTCTGGCACAGCGAAAACAAAATCCTGACCCTGGGTCTCAGCCGAAAGGAGGAAAACCTGCCCCAGGAGCCGGAGTCTTGTTCCCCCGCCTCTTCGGGCTCATCCCCCGATGCCACCAGGTGGCAGCCGCTCACAACGCACATTTTCCCGGCACCGTTTTGGGTTTTTCCGCAATGCCTGGGAACTTCACAGGCTGGGGGAAAACTCCGTCGGGTTTCCCTCTATTCGCCATGGCCTCGCAGCACCTGGTTTTCAAATACGCTGCCTTTAGTTGGCAGCTGGTAGTTGGAACACCCTACTATACGTTGCGGAGCTCTTGTGTGTGTTTGCGTATGCAAGTATATAGATGACATATAATTTTGACATAAAAATAAGATGTACATAACCAGTATAAAATGATCTATTAATCAGCCACATGTACATGGATGCACATGGTTTTTTAGTAGCAAAATGAGCATTTAGAGCAGCAATGTGATGTAAACATGTTATTCATGTTTACAAATATTGTCCTCTAAGAGAAACCTTTCTTTCCCAAAAACATGTTGGCAGGTCTTTCGTCTTTATTTAGGAAAGTACATTGAAATAGTTTCAGGAAAGGAATAGGCAGTCTCATGAAAGGTAGGTCCATTGGTGGCTTTTAAACATGACGGAAGTACGGTACAGGAGGGATTACTTCTGTATGTGCCCTGCTTCTTACACTCTTTTCTTAAGAAAATGTATCCACCGCTGGGCACCACTGAACCCGTAGCCTGACCCAGTGCATTGGTTTGTATCTTATTTAAATTAGCTTTCTGTATAATTAATGACGCAGCCAATTAGTCTGTCAAAGGCTGAAATACCATAGCTAAAATAAGCTTGGACACTTCAGTAGACCTGTTCACATAGATTACATAAATGTTATTTCTATACTACCCGTTCAGAGCCTTTCTTTTTGTTTTATACATTGTACATTTCTAGCAAGAACGGTCCTTCCCAAAGCAGGAGGTGGAGATCTCCAAGGGGAAGCAGTTCTACCTTCCCTCTTCTGGTCATTTTGTTTCCAAGGGGGCTTCATTCTCCTCTCATGCAGTTGCACATGAGCTTTGCAATTTAGGATAGCAAAGGAAGGGAAACCATCCTGCCCTCTCACACACCCTGTATGACATACACACAGACACGCAGGCAGCATATTTGTATTTTTTCCTTTTTAGTTGCAGAACCTAAATTACTGTAGAGCTGGGGAAATAAAGACTCTGTCCATCAGAGCACGTAGTTCATCCTGAGGGAATGGGAAGGGCTCCCCTTGAGCAAAGCCTGAGGGAAGGGATCTGGGAAAGGGAAGGCATTTTTCTCTGGAGTTAGCTTATGGAGTTTGCTCCAAAATATGTCCAAAGAGAAGGGGCTAAATCACTGGAATGATGCTGGGGTTTAGCTCCCAACCCCCCAAATTTCCCCAAGCTCTCTGCGAATCCAGGGGGAACTTGCAGAAGGCCAGGGCACCCCCAACAGAAACCTGTGTGCTGAGGTCCACTGTGGGTCAACCTACTGCCGCAGTGGTCAAGCCCTCACGGGAGGAAAGGAGAAACAGAGCTCCAGCCCCCAGGGCTGAGCAGGGAGATCGGCCACTGGTGGCCACAGGGGAAGGAAGTATTTCTTTTTTCACCTCCGTTGCTGTTCTTCCTTCTCAGTCCTCTTGACCCTGAGGACTCCTGTGGAGGGAAACAGTTTTCGACACCACTTTCTGTGGAGGAAAGATGGAGAGCTATGTATGACACGAGCACCTCCTGCGCAGACCCCAGTGAGAAGATCAGCCCATATAAGTCCATACCAGTGGGGGGGTTCGTACACGGCACCGCCGGACACCTGGTTCCCCTCCTGCAGCCTGGCTGAGAGAAGGCACACAGCTTGGTCAGTTCAGATCCTGCCGTTCGATCTCTCTTTTCCTTTCAACTCAAGCAGTAGACTACTTTGATTGCCTTACTTAAACCTCTTAATATCCTGTCCCTCTATTTTCCCCTCATTTAGCTTTGTGCTGCTATTACAGTATGCAAATCTGGACATTGCTTTGGGTAATAATTTTAGGAAAGATACTGTGCACAACTGTATCTTCACTTAAATCTCTTTCAGATTAATTGACCGCTTAAGGATATTTGGGTAAGTTTCTTAGCATTCAATAGAGAAAATTATTCTGAACAGGGAGCATTTTTGGGGGGCAAAAACTGAATATAGAGAATTAACTCATGAGCTTTTTAAAACATACGAGTTCTCCCAGCACTGGGAGAGGAATTCTTTGTTAACAATTTGGGTTGCTGTGGCACAGAGCCAATGTTTCAGTTACACTATGAAAAGCACCCAAAAATTACCAACACCTCCTTTCTCTATCTTCAAAGTTTTATTAAACACTCAAAAGTATTTAAAAGGTCAGTTACCCATTTCACTGCTATTGGGGGATTACTCTAACATGATGTGTTTGTCTCCTATTGTGAGTAGTGAAAATCCCCCTGTATCCAGCGTGTTTTGTTTGGATTGAGATGGCATGCAGCTGATGGCTGTGACCTTCATGGTGGCTTAGATCCCTGGCTGGCACTGATTTTTGATTTAGTGCCGATCTGCTGCGCTTGTCACAGGCTGCAAGGTGCTTTCCATGCACTAATGGAACAGCTCAAGGGCAGAGGGGCCCTGTAAATGTCTATCTTTCACCAGCACTGTGCTAAATAGAGAGCTGAGTTTTCTACATGTGAATGACAGACCCTGAGATTATATACAGGAGTGAACTGGGAGTTCTTCTGCCTGGGCTGATGCCTGGCGGTAAATAAATGTCACTGTAAAATGGGAAGTTTTTATTATTCTAAGTAGTAATGAATATAAGTGTACAGTGTTAAACAGAATACTTAATATTGCCTATATATCCACATCTGATGGCAGGAACTAGCCATATACAGACCACCTGCCCTATAAGCAGTTGCGTATTTCCTTTGAATCCTAGAGGATTTGTACCAGAGCTCTGTTTGACTCTGTCTGCATTAATAGATCATTAATAAATCCTGTTCGTTAATGACATATTCAGCTAAAATTAATTCACCCTGAGCTCTTCCTAGCAGGAAACCAGCACACTGGATTGCAAATGGCAAAAGATTTCAGGTTAACTCTGCTTATTCACCAATGTTAGGAATGGGTGAAGGGCCAAGCATACAGTGTCTACATATGGAAAATCTCCTGTTAGGCTCAGTGGAAGTTTCTTCTGCATACAAGTGCAGGGAGAGGCCGTTAGGTTTGCTTCAACAGTATAGGGAGTAACGCAATGCAGTTTAGTGTCATATTAATCTTATCACTCATTTTTAACAAAACAGGTCTTTACAGCATAAACATATTCCTTGCACTCAGAACATCATATTGAGCTGATTTGTAATTTCCATATATTAGATGCAAGCTGGAATATTCAGATTACACAAACAAATGGTATAATAAATACGTGCCCTCTTAAGTATAACGGATCAGATCATACCATCAGCTTCTGCACAGAACTCCCAGGTGAAATTAAAATGAAGAAGAGCTCTGCATGGACTTGGAGAGGAATGAGGAATTCTGCTTACAAGCCAGAACCATCTCTCTCTCAGCCTATCGTCTCTCTCCTTGTTATTGGAAAATGATCTATTTATTAACTACTTAACTGCTTCTTTAAGTTGTTGGTTTAATGATTAAGGTTGCCATCACTAATTTCTAAGGTGGGAGAGGAAAGGAAAGAGACCGCTGCCTCCTCATTCTCCCTCTTGACAGCTAAGCATGTTCTCAAGGCTACTCAAAATGGCATTTTTGCTGCCTGTTGCCCCACAGAGAAGTGAGGGGTAATTGAAACCTGGGAGAAATCTGGCCATGGAGTAATGCTCAGGACCAGCTTTGCTGACTTTTGTCCAGGTATTGAGTGAAGCTACATTAAGCCAGTTTTCCAGCCAAAGGGACACAAACAAGATGTGGTAGAAGGAAGTGATTTGACCCCTTTTTCAACCCCGTTTTCCTACTTATAAAAAAAAAAAAAAGGAATTAAGATATTCTGAGTATGTGAATTATGAAATCAACCAAGTAATTTTTATAAGGAAGGTAGAGGGAGTAACATCCACTATGGAATTTTGTAATACAGGGGTTCAGAGTAATTTCTCCAAGCCCTTTTGTTTCCATCAATAATGAGTACTCTATGAGTTTTGTCTAAAGGAACCATTTATTCCTTTGGGCAAGGATTGTAGTCCTCTCATTTAGCCCAGGAAAGTGTTTTCACTGGTTTTGACAGACAGAGGCCAAGCAGCATCAGGCTATAGGCTACATAGCCTCAGTTTCCTCATCTGTGACAGAGGAGAAGTGTTTTTCCTAAGGGTGTTGTTGGTCTAATTAATTACTATTACCAGACTGCAACAAGAGTCTTACATGGACGAGAGAGAGAGAGATCAATCCCACCTGGGGCTGAGCTCTCTGCTCTGCTTCAGCCTGAGCCTTGGCTCAGAGGAAGATGATTTGGAGGGATGAAGGTGGCACAATACAGCTTCAGGCTGTGGAGGACTGGGGTTTCCCTCCAGCACCTGCTGCTGTCTGGGGTTCATTCGAGCACTGTGGTTGTTTGGAAGACCTTGAAGAGGGACACCTGGAGCTGTTCAAATCATACACCACCCAGAGCTGCCAGACTGGCATCTTGCCTACATCCATGTTGCAGCTGGGCACTCAACTCCCTCCACTGCCTGTAAGGGAGCCAGTGTCTGGCAGCCCCATACCATAGAAAGTCTGAATTCCTCCTCTCTACTTGAACTTAGACACCACAAGAAGTTCAACACCTCACAGTTTTGGCTGCCATGATGCAAGGACTTAGTGTTTTTAGGATGCAGTTCAAGTAAGCAAAAGGTGCTGTGCTGGGCCAAAGCCCTGACCCACTTCCATCGTGCTTCAGGCTGAAGATATAACAGCCACCTCCCCTGCCCTGACACCTTGTCCTGGGGCTGTCCCCATGGGCCTGTGACCCCCAGGTATCCGAACCTCTGGCCACGCCTCTTTGAAAGGTGCTGGGAGGAGGCTGGTCCTGGTGGTGAAATTGGAATCCTGGAAATAACTGCTGTGGAAAAGGCTTGGACATCAGGAGTCAAGACTTGATGTGGAATACCATAGCAACTGTTGGGCTGTTGGGAGACTGCAGGCAGGCATGCTTATTGATGGTCATACTTAAAAGACAATATATACCTTTCGCTCTGGTGCGAACATGATGCTCTTACA